TTAAAACGGGTAGGGATAGACCTAAGAAAATATGGAAAAAACTATTAAAAATGATTTGAAATATTTGAATTTGTCCGATAATTTATGTACCAACCGAACACTATAGCGACATATGATTCATATAGCCGACTCCACTTAGTAGGAAAAAGGCTTGTGGTCGTTGCACTGCGCTAAAAGAACACGCACTACGAACGCTCGAAGCAAAGGCTGAAACCACTTTTTGGTGTGCTATTGAGGATTTTTCACCGACTGCGGTCTTGAACTTTGTCCATGCTCCAGAAAATTTTAAAGAACCTATCTGATTGCACAATATTAATTAATTTCCGCATCGACAAATGTTCTGTGAAACTTGAAAAAGAATAATAAAAGCGTGAAGACAGAATAATTTAAGCTGGTAGTAAATGTACAAATTGATAGGATTGTGGAATATTGTTCAAACTTCAAAGTGGGTATTTTGGTCTTGGGCAATGATTTTTCTGGAAGATGAATTAAGAAATAGTTTTGGAGGATTGGACAAAAATTTTTGTCGAGACGCGGTAGGATGTATTTAATAATTGAATTGAATAAATGTGCGATTATAATTTATGTTTGACTGTTTGCTGCTGTCATCTCTTCTATGCCTTTTCAGTAACACTCCCAATTCCCCATCTTACAATCAACAACTACTCTCTTTCTAGCAAATGATTTTTGGATTTTTTCGGTTACATTTGATGGCATGATTTAAATATATGATTGAGACGTGTCTTATGAAATATTTAAATAAATTTACTTAGTATTAGTATTTATTATTATGATACTACTAGTTGTTATTGCGAGAAAATAGCAAGGCCCCCTATAACCTTTATTCTCTACAGTTCAAAAATTAATGAAACGATGGCACGGAATCTCTGCTGATTAATTACTAACTAGTTCGTACTTGTTATTGTTTTGAGATTCATCGATCTTGTTCTGGTTCGTGCATGAATAGAAAATGTGTCATCTGCTAGTAATAGAAGTTAAATCATCACTAAATTAGAGTCAATGATATAACTTGCTCCATTCACTGTTCTCTCTTAGCAGAGACACAACTCCAATCGATTTGCATGGAACTTCGGAAGTGCTTCGACATGTGCATTTAATTTGAGTAATTTCATATACAATCAACATTTTGGTTTAAGTTCTCTATTTAGAATCGTTTTCAAAGTGTAGAATTGGAGTCATAAAATCGTATCGTAGAATTATAAAATTTTAATAAAAATTTGTCAAATTTGTTGGTATAATAGTTTTTACCATAAGTATCACATGTATAATTTTAAAATGGTTTTTCATTGCCATCTATGTCTTTTCATCTAAAATTTTTTAAATTTAAGTATTTCGTACATTTACGGTTACAACTTGGTAAGCAAATATACAAACTAAAATGTCTCTAATCACAAACAAGTTCAAACTCCTATCTTATAATTAAAACATAAAAGAAATTATCATCTCTTAAAAATCCATCATTAAAACATATACTAAGAAAAGATATGGTTGCTTCAGTAGGAAGTGATGGCCATGGAGTCTTGGCTAATTGGAGTCAACTTTCAATAACTCAATTCATTTTTTTAGTTCAATAATTCCATTCATAAGTTTTATCTATGGAGTGGGCAGCAAATTAAAATTTTAATGGCCTAAAATTTCAGTTTAACAAGTGTAGTTCAATAAAAAAACTCATAAAATACGTAAATAATCAAATTTTATAAAATTACAATCGTAAATTTGGAAAATTTTATTCATCTTTCAAGATTAGAGTAATTGTACCAAAATTCTAGTCGATAATGTGATTATAAGAGACTTAGAATCGATAAAGTAATTTTCAACCGTAAACAGATAAACTAAGATTTTTGTGTATGGTGCTAAATGTTAAAATGATGTCTCGAGAGAAATGCTAGAAGCTTTATATACATGGTTGTTTTTTTTCCTTACAAACCTCACCCACATATAATAGACTAACTATTTGTATAATATATTTTTGAAAAAATAACTATTTCGAGTTTAAAATTTCAAATTGTTTTGGGGGGAAATTCTGGAACACAATAATTATAAAAAGGGAGGAACATATTTTGAGCCATCATAATCAAAAGTCATATGTGGGGCGGCAACTCACGTTGCCTGGCCGGCCAAAATAAGAAGAATAATAGTAGAGTAATGATTTATTTTTACCAATAAAATTGTAGCATACTAATTCAAAAGTAACATTCTTTTACACGGTGTGTTTATAAATTTATAATACTCGTATTGTTAGTGTTTTATATTTCACCAAAAAAAATAAAAACTTGCTAGTGCTTATTCTTGGAGTAATACTTGAAATTATTCAACCGCATGGGCCGCAGACTATAAAAGAGCTCAAGAAAGAAACAATTAAAGGCAGCTTACACGAAGCGACATTCTTTGTTTTCTCGAAGAACATTTTTGGCCATAAAATAACAGTGACAGTTAAGGCATTTGACATCTAAAGAAAAATCATTCTAAGTATTCTAAGTATTCTAAAGAACATTTGTTTTCCCTATTCTAAGTATTCTGTTTTTTTCCTAATTTATACAAGTGATGGGCCAAAAGGCTTCGACACAAAAAGTCATCCAAGTGAAACCTAATTTATTCTGACAGACTAAGTTCCAAATCCGGTGGAAAATAGGGCAAAAATCAAATTTCTAAAGGAATCGAAAAACCTAGTTTGCGAAGAGCATATGCAAGACTAATTTCTCTCTAGAAGTGTGTTTCATGTCTACCTCCAAGTGCGCAAAATTAAAATTTTGATTTGCCATAAGAGTCTGTAAAGAAAAATGATGGTGTGCTGTGGCAGTCTATAATGATAAAACGTTCAATAATTCAAATCACATTATTAATCAATGAAAGAAATTACAGTTGATTGATTAGAAAAGAAAACCCAAAATGAAATTTATAATCGGTAAGAGTATCCAACATTAATAGACATAGATCAACCCCATTCTTGGGAAGGGGAAATGCAAAGTAGCAAGCTTATTCGGGCCAATCTGCAGGTTACTATGGATGCCTTGATTGTATTGTGCCTTATTAACTCAAACACAATTAATTTCTATTTATCGACGTAGAAAGTATTATAATTTCTTGTCCCCTCCTCTCCTTTCTCTCAAACCCTAAAAAAAAATTCTCCAATTCTCCCCCATCTTTCCATCATGAAAGAATGGGGGAAATAATTTTTTTCTTTAATTTTAGCGTATTCTTGTTTCTCTTTCTGTTTTAATAGAGGGGATTAACCCGAAAAGTTCTTTCAATAGATTACTCGGCTGATCTATTGAGAGGGTATGATACTTTTGATTATAGTGTTCCTCAATAGATTGAATTTACTGGCTAAGGGTAGGGTATGCTGTCTGCAGTGTCCGTGATGACATTGGTGATGTTTGTCACTTTTCAACAAGAATCGGTCGTTATGTTCGTGATGTGGTTGGTGATACTCGCGGACTCGTTGTATACTTTTCAAGAAGAATCAGTCGTTATAAATATATTTATTAGATTTGTAATTTGGAGTTTTCATATGATTATTAGTGATATATCCTTAACCGGATCTGAATCTTGGTACGTGATAATGTCTAGTCTTATTTTGGATAGATCTGTGTGACTGTATAGGTTTATTCATGGTAAACACAACAATATGGTGATAGTAATCTGTCATAAGTTACATTTTAGACTATTTCTTTGTATTGTCAAACGCAGTTGGATGATTTTCAACATATGAATGAAATTTTTCTTCGCAAACACAATTACATATTCCGTATGTCTCAAAGAAATAGTTAAATTAATAACCTTTAATATAATTTATAGATTATTATTACATCGTAAATTAGTTTTTTAAAGATATATGAAAAACTACTACTTAAAATATTTACACAGATCAAATCAATATGTCTAGTTCATGGCGATCTTGTTTCTTAATAACTTAGACTCAAGTGTACAATTCTTAATGAAGATGGTTCAACCAAATCGCCAATAAAAGTTTCACATTTTTATGAGTTATGTTTGGAAGAATTTTAGTCATTTATAAATGCTAAGACTTCGAATAGAAAGTTAGTTTTATAGTCAACTACTTTTTTTTTTTTTTTTCTCTTTCAGGGAGCATATATCTAGATAAAAGTAGAAGAAATTAGAACAAAAATGACAAAATTCAAAAGTTGTTGGAAAAAAATATGAAGAGAATGCAAATAGCATAAAACAGTGGAGAAGACATTACTCCACGAGCAAAAAAAAAATTGAATGATAATTATGGTTGAATTCGGCAACCGTTTTGCTGCAACATTTCCTAGATTGAATCAATATGCATGCTGCAGATTCGGAGTTGCTAACTTGCTATTGAGGAATTTGATGATTAGAGATGATACGATGTTGTAATGAAAGTTTGACATAAATGGACAGAGAAAAAAATGGACAGTATAACCTCAAATAAATCAAGATGGTACGCGGTCAATCAAACTAATTATGAAATAAATCTTGCTTTTACTCTGGTACAATTAAGGAAGTTATAATAGCTGAAATTTTATTACTGTATTATACATTTACAATAATAATATACTCCTTCCGTCCCAAATTTATTGCCTAATTTAAATTTTCATTTTTAGTATAAAATAACGTAAAAAGAAAATTCAAACTTCATAATAATTTTGAGACGGATAAATTATTATTTATCAACTTCACCCATGGTTTGAGATATTCTTTGTGGTTCTTTCTTTCTTGTATTGGGTTGGAAGAAAATGCTAGGAAGTACTAATACTATATAAATAGATTAGACCATCAGACACACATCATCAAAACCGCCCAAAATATAATAATACACAGGTGATATACATTAAGGGATAACGTTATGACGTCATAAACCATATATACCTTAAAAGTATATAGAAAAAAAAAAGAAAAAAAAGGCAAAATTAATTTGTTTCCAGCTCATTTTCTCTCCTTTTCCTCTATTTTTTTACGGTTTTTTTTTTTAAAAAAAAAATTCTAAAAATTATATTTTGTGATGCCAGTTTTCCAGACTCCCCACCGAAACCAGACCCCCTTCCGTCTCTTTCTCCATCAAAAAATTTTCTCCATCTTTTCTTTTCACCTTTTTCTCTCTTCTAGAATCTTTTTATTGCAGCCGATCTTCAAGCTCGCGAATTTTTTCCCCTCTTTTGTGTGTAAGTTGATCTTTTCTGTATCATCTATCTTATTCCTACTCAATCGAATTGGTTCCTCTCTCTCTCGTATTAATTATGCTTTCTGTTATTGTTCTTTGGCCTCAAGAAATTGTTAATTTTTGGGAGTTTTAATCGCAGCTGGTAAAATTGAGCTCCCAGAAATGTGTCGCTTTGGGATTTTGAAGTTTGCTAATTGTTTATTGAGCAATAATTGTTTCCATTCGCGCCAGATGCATCAAATTTCAATCTTTTTTAGTGGGCAAGTGAAAATTTATCTTGGTTGTTGCTGATAATGGGAATTTTTTTAGTGTATCAAGCGCAACATGTGTGTTATTTGCTGATTTTGACTCTTTTTTTTTTTTTTTTAAAAAAACACTTATTATCTGGATTTCTCTCTTTTTTTATTTTTATTTTTTCCCCAACTTATAGTTGGAAAGAGGTATGATCTTGCACAATTTTGAGTTGCTATGTCTGTTAATGTGGTTATTGGGAAGTTTTCATATGTTCATGAGTTTTGATTTATGGACAAATGTGGATTTGTCTTTGTAGAGAACTGGGAAGTTGCTGAATTAGCTGTTAGTAGTGATTGGATTTTATTGGAAGATATTTGGAGAGAATGGGGTGCTGCGGGTGCAAAGGTTTCTTTGAGTGCTTATTGAAGCTCTTGAATTTCATTTTGACTTTGGTTGGTTTGGCTATGGTGGGTTATGGTATCTACCTCTTTGTGGAGTACAAGAATAATGCAGCCCCAGGGGATGACTCTGGTACTCCTGCACCTTCGGCCGGGGAGATGATCCAGCTAGGTCGGCCCATGCTCATGGCGGTATCTCTTGCTGACAACATTTTTGATAAACTTCCAAAAGCTTGGTATGGCAATTATTCTTGTTGTGCTTTTCTTTTCTTGAACCCTTATTTGCTTTTTGTAACATTTGATGGTGCAGTCTTTTTTTTTTTAATTTTTTATTTTGGATGCTAAATATAGTTCTTGAGTAGTGTAATGGAGAAGTTTTGAAGTTGCTATTGTGAAAACCAATTGGAAATTATCGGTTTTCTCTAAATTGAAATATTACCAACTGTTAACCCAGCAAAAAAATTAGCAAGGTGAAAAACATTAAAGGGAATTGGTCCTCAATCTGTTCATGAAAACTCCAAGCTCGCCCTGTGCTGTAAAGTTAATCGTACGAAAGATTTGACTCCTATTGCCACCCGTTTTGGTCTGTTGGTATCTCTTGAACGCTCTTATAGTATGAGTCTATGATACACTTCTAGACAACCATTGTTTTACTTACTTGCTATCATGTGCTTTCACAGTTGTTACTAGCTTTTGATCTTTGCGTGATGATCCTTTTTTATTGATATAGGTAGTGTTGACTAGAATTCATGAAATTCTTATCTGGCTGCAGAAACTGTGGTGTGTGTTGAACATTATTTTTTAGTACCCGTATCGTGATTTAGTTTTCTTTTACTTGAAAAATGAAAGTTGGAAAAGTGGGAGATAAGGGTAGTTCCACTGTTTTGTACTTGTGGATGTCTGTTTCGTGTTGATTAATGTTTTGTTTTGCCGGTACTTTGGGCACTGTGAGGGTAATTACCTTAGGAAGTCTCACTAAGTCAGAGTGTCTCATATACTTGAAGATACTTAAATGACCTCTTTTGAACTAAATGCAGATCAGAAATCATACCTTCGAGTTCTACTAAACAATAATAGCTTAAGTTTATGCTATTAAAGTGAAGAAATTGGTTTGCAAGAACTTGAATTTCACTAATTTTCTTGGTTTTAAGACAAATAAATTTCGGTAAATATCCATTTCCACAGATTTTCAAGTGTTGCTTCGTGAGGAGACAGCCTTATAACTGAATTCTACATTTTGTGCTTGAAATGACGTTGAAACTAGACTACAATGTGTAGTTAAATTTTCTTCTTTATTTACATCTCTTGTCTTCCAGAAGTTACCTCTCATTAGACTGTCCATGCTACATATTTATGCATTTTCAGCCTCAAATGAGAGGTTTTTGCTCTTCTTGCTGTAGATTTGTGTGCCAGCTGCTTGGATGTATCTTGGAAGAATATTTCATTAGTTTCGCCCATTAATATTAGTAATCTCCTATGTAGTTGGTTCCCTGGTCTGATCCTGTCTTTGCTTGTTAAAGTTGTTCAACAAACCTAGTTTCTTGTTTGACGAGCCTAGCAATTTTGGTCATTATTTGCTATTTATGGTTTTTTTGTGCAAACAGAAATTTATGCTCAGTTAAATGGACTAGTTTACATTACGGTAGAGGATTGTGTTGTTGAGGGTTCCCCTTTTGTTTCATCATTGTTAGAATCTGTAGTTTGTGTCTGGCGTATGATGAATTGTTGTATGTGTATCTTCTTTGAACATTTTGAGCTTGTTGCTCGTTGGCTGCTAAATCTGCTAGTGCTCTGTTGAGGGCGAAACAACTAATAAAGTTGATGCTTGCAGGTTCATATACTTGTTTATCGGTGTCGGTGTAGCTCTTTTTATCATATCCTGTTTCGGTTGTATTGGAACGTCAACAAGAAATGGATGCTGCTTGACTTGTGTATCCTTCCATGCAATTTCTGGCAGTTTGTATGTTAAATTTCTATAAGCAGAGTTCATCTCCAGCAGAATCTGGTAATATGTTCATGTGATACTTCAAGTTAGCTGATAATGATGATACTAGTGAAACTAGGTGTGATCGTTGGTTCCAGTGGAAATTGGAATAGCTAATTAACTCTCTACCTGTAATTCTGTTAACTATTAAAAATCTGGACAGTTGAGCTGTTGATGTTCTCGTTGCCCTTGTGGGCTTTGTGAACAACTGCCAACCTTCGGGTTTTCTCTTTCTTCGTCTTCTCCTATATCATATATACTCATTGGCAAACTATTTTGGTCTTGATATTTCTGTATCTGTTGAACTTTCTGATTAATGAAATTAATGGTGCCTTGATTTGTTGGTTCCTTAAACTTGAATAGTATGCAGTGTTGGTGATACTACTGATCTTGGTTGAATTGGGTGTTGCTGGTTTTGTTTTCTTTGATAAAAGCTGGCAAGAGGTTAGTTACCGAATTTCTTTTAAGTCTGAATTTTATGCTTATTTTACTCCTATTTGTACTTTGAATTCTATAAAATATATAATATCATAAGTTTGCATGCTTATTTTTCATTGAGAGTGTTAACGCATATTGCTGATATTTGATAGGATATTCCAACTGACAAAACTGGAGACTTTGGTATGATCTATGATTTCCTGAAAGAGCATTGGAAGATTGTCAAATGGGTTGCCCTTGGTGTTGTTGTCTTGGAGGTAATCTCTTTCCGGAATTTTTGTAATTTTAGGTGAAAGAATTCTGAGTTTTTGTTCACTTAAGAACCGATACTTGAATTTGGTATTACATTTATTGCTTTTTCTCCCATTATCTGTTTCCACTGCCAAGCATTTTTGCAAGTCCATAGTTGCATGTTTCAACAGTCACCCCTTGCTAGATGTGTCCCCTTTGTCTTTCTGATTATTTAATTGTCTGAGAAGTTTGTGTGGGTCCATTTATCACTCAATAAAAATTTCTTCTATTTGTTGGTAAAAGATTTTAGATTGTGAAAAGAAATGATACATGTTTCCCTTTCCTAGTTGGCTCATGACAGTGAAAATACTGCAGGCTCTTGTATTTCTGTTAGCTCTTGTGGTGCGAGCTGCAAACAGACCAGCTGACTATGACAGTGATGATGAGTATATTCCTAGGCAGCAAATCCGTCAGCCATTGATAAGCAGCAGCAGGCCACCACAGGTTCCTGCTACTGGGGTCCCAGTTGCAGGTGCTCTTGATTCTCGCCCCAGTAGGAATGATGCTTGGAGCACAAGGATGAGAGAAAAGGTTATCTCGGGCTTCCTAATGCCTTAAAACTCCTTGTTGCTTGTTACTGTGCCTCTTCTCGATTTTGCCCGAGTTCAGTTGAATAATTATTGGACTAGTTGGTTTGCTAACTTGTTTTTGTCATTTTTGTGAAATCAGTATGGGCTTGATACATCGGAGTTCACATACAACCCATCAGAATCAAACAGGTACCAACAGGGTACAACACAGCCTAGAGAATCGATAGGGGGGAGCGGAACATCATATTGTGCCATAATGTAATGTGACCTGGACGGGTTTTGCCTGTGTGTGTGATCAAAATCTTTGATAGGACTTGTAGACAGCCTGTGATTAATTGTGCATGTTTTAGAGTTTTTTCTCTCGTGTACAAACACAATTTCCAGGAGTCTCACCTGTCCCTCCTGCAGAGTTGAGTCTAATATTGGATGGATTGTATGTAATTCATGTTCGGCTAAGTCATGTTTCTTTTGCTACTGGTTGTGGTTTTGCTTTTTTTTCTTTTTGGGGTGTAATTGGAATTGGACCACAACTGGAAAAAAAAATGTATGCACGAAAGTTGTACCCCAAGTGCATCAAGTTTCAGGACAAGGTATGTTGGGTTTGTTCAAAAAGGAGAGAAAATGAATGTACAAAACCAAACTTGACATGCTTTAGTCTGGAGTGATGTGATTCTTTTGTTTATTATACTCAACAAACAGGCCGAACAATTTTTTTTTTCTTTTTTCCTTTTCCACTTTTGGGTTAAAGCCCTAAGAATGCGTTCAGTAGAATTTATTTAATAGATTAGTATAGAGCATAATATATCTCCTAGGCTCCTAGCTGCTCCACCTCGAAAAGTTGATCGTGATTCCTGATTATGGCTCTTAAGGTTCAATACTTCAATCTCTCTTCAAATATTTTCAAAAAAAAAAAAAAAAATCTCTCTTCAAAGTATGGGTACGCTTTTGTCTTGTCACCACCGCTTGTTGTGAGGGACAAAGGGCTGCTGATCCAGACTTCAAAGACATTGATCCGAAGCAGCAAGAAGTGGTGTCGCTCGAAGAATCAGACGTTGGCCAACGCCAAGTCTAGCCCATTTGGAGTTTGAGACTGGTGAAAGCACGGTACATACGTTCATCTTTGAGTATTATTGGAATATTGAGATTCAACAAAAGGTGCGGCCGGTCAGACTCATCAATACGAGGCAAAACTCTTTTTGCGATTATGTACTGGGATGTTACTGAACGTCCTAATTTTTTCATTTGAGTACCTTAAAAATCTTAAAAAAACTATTTTATTCTCACATATTTATTTATTTTTTTTAAAAAAGAGGAAGGGATGACGCATTTTTGCGCCAGCCTTTGAAAGACTGGCGCAGGAGAAACACGCCACCCTTTCACGGGTGACGTGCACTTTTCTCGCCCCCCTTCTTAGGGCGGCGAGCGATTTTTGTGCCCCTGAAAAGGGGGTGGCGCATGATTTCCCCCCCGGTTTGGCGAGCAAACCGCTCTCGCCAAACCAATTGGGTGGCGGCCACCCTTTTTTTAATTTATTTTTTAAAATTTATTTATTTATTTAATTCTTTAATTTATTTTATTCATTTATTTAAGTATATTTATTTATTTGTTTTGCAGTTAAATAAATAATTTTAACTTAAATAAATAATTTTTTAACTTAAATATTTGAAGAATGTTGTTTAATTTTGCATAGTAAATTTATTATTTAATTATTTAAAATTTTTTAAACTTAAATAAAAAATTAACATTTAATAACAACTAAAACATATGAATTTACTACCAAAAGAATTATTTATAAATAACTAATAAAAATACACTAATTATTTATATATTAATGAAAAATTATCATTTACTACCAACTAAAAAATTAACATTCTCTAAATATTTAAATTAAAAAATATTTATTGATTATCGGTGCATCTAGTCGTCCTGAGAATTTTTTTGAAAAAATTTAAAATAAAAAATATGAAATATAAAATATGTTGAAATTTCATATTTTTATATTTCATATTTATCATAAAATAAATATAAAATACGTTGAAATTTCTTAGGATAATGGCTCGTTAAAACCTTTACTAGAAAAAACCCAGTGGAAGCCATGTCATCCAAAATTAGAAACCCCTCCTTATGCAATTTATTTATGTAGTTGTAGACTTGTTTAGAGGTAACATTTTCATCAGGAAATTGTGTCCGAATCGCCCGTAAAATGTGAACTGCCTTAGTCCTAACTTTAGAATACTCCTCAATGAGCTCTCTCACTTCTGCGCTCAGTCCGCTCCTACCGAGGCGGATCTGTCAAAAAATGATTGTGCATTCCTCACAGACCGAGATATATACGAATCGTCCATCTATCACATATTTTGTAGATAATAATACGAAACTGGTATCCGGTCATCTGTGTCTTCGTATTGGGTCGGGCGCGCATGGTTTCGTCCACCTGTTGACCTTGGTACCGGCCTCCTTTATGACAAAGGAGTATAGTATGACTATCCTTATGCGAGGATATACTTAACTCCATGTTGTACATATTTGCAATACCCTTTGCATATGCAATAGCGTCAAGCCTTTCGGCAAAAGTCTCGTTTGTAGCAAAAGCCGAAGTATAATCAGTGCTATCCCCCTGATTAAACCTATTATGCACACATTAAAAATAAATTATATCATAACTTAAATTAATTATAATAATATTAAACCACAAATAATTCATTATAAACAAAAATATAATATCTAATCCGATATAATGATGTTATACTTTAAAGATAATTAATTAACATAATATATACTAATAACAAACTAAATACATTATTAACAAAAACTTACCATTTTAATATAACAACTATAACTTATGAACATACTACCTAATTAACCAATTATTTCTAAACTAAAAACAAATTATACACATATTTAACAAAAAAAAAAAAATTCATACGAACATATTACGTAATTAACACAATTTAAACATATAACAAACTAAACACATAATTAACTAAAAATTTATCTTTTTAATATAACAACTATAACTTATGAACATAATACGTAATTAAAAAATATTCTCTAAATATTTAAGTTAAACATTATTTATTTACCAATACCATAAACCCTAAATATTAAGATAAATTATCCATTTAACTACCAATTAACATACATTTTCTAAACAAATATTAAACTACCAAACAAATACTCAAATAAAATAAATAAATAAATTAAATTAAATAAATTTATTAAACTAATAATTTAAATAAATAAATGAAAATAATTAAATACATTAAAAAAATAATTATAATTAAATTAAAAAAGAAATGGGTGGCGCAGCGCCACCCATCGAATGGTTGGCGAGCAAAGACAAAGGTGGCGCCCAAAACGGGCGCTTTTCTCGCCTCCCTGTAAAGGGAGGTGAGATTATTCACGCCATCTCGCAAAGGGTGGTGTGTTTCTCGGCTGGCGCAATTTTCCCTCGCCCCCTCTTTTTTTTAAAAAAATAAAAATAAAAATTAAAGGTAAAATTGTGTTTTTACATCTTTTTAAGGCGCTTAAAGGAAAAAAATAGGGCGCTCAGCAGCAACACCCATTATGTAATGCCAGTAATGTTCACTTTCTTTTGCTGTTATTTTATTTACTTAATTAGTTATTTATTTTAGATTAGAATGCAGTTTTAAGATCGTGGTGTGGGTTAGTTAAATTATATGGGGATTACTTCTTCTTGTTTTTAGATTGTTATTAGTCTATTTATGTACGTATGACTCTTAATTTTTAAGAAAGAAGAAATTATTGAAAAACATACTTTATTCTCCCTTTTATTTTTTGGAGTTCAATCTCGACTCGAATAGGGAAATTACATTGATGCTTTCTTTAAAAGAGCATCATGCCTCCAACTGGAAAAGATAGGGCTTCCTCCTCGGATGAAGTTGTTGCAAGCATGGAAAATTCCATAAAAGATGTTCGATCCGAATTGGCTGAACATAAAGAATACATCGACGCCAAATTTGAGGCCAAATTCCAAGCCTTCACTGCTCACATTGAAGCTAGATTCGATGCCAAATTTCAAGCCCTCACTGCCCACCTTGAATCTCTCATAGTTCAGAAATCTCAAAACAACCATACTAATCCAAATATATCCATGTTGAATCATTTGCTCATCTCACTATTCCCAAATCCCTACCTCAATCCTCCACTCTTTTAGCAATCTAACCACCGAAGATTCATCTACCTATGCTTGATGGCACTAACCCTTAGATTGGTTGTTCCAAGCTGAACAATAATTCAATTACTATCAAATTTGTGAGGAGCAAAGAATTCTAGGGCTGTCAGTTAATCGGGTGAACCAAAAAACCAGCCCGCACCGAACCCGATTCAGCTGAAACGGGTCGGTTATTTGGGTAATTCGGGGAATTGCGGGTTTACCCGATTAACCGCATTGTTAATTTGGTGTGGGTACGAGCAGAATAAAATTATTTTGGGCACCACCCGAAAACCCGAACTATTCATATCTTTTAATATATTATATTATATATGTAAATAAATAGATAAATTATTACTAACCCTAAAAACTTCTCTAATTCCACTTCTCACCTCATCATATTTTTCTTCTTTCTTTGTACTTGGTAGATAGCCACCCTACCGACGCCACTCACACTCAGTTCCACAATCCATCAATCCCTTCATCTCCATTCTCCATTCACCATCTCCAATTCTTGATCTTTCCACTGCCTTCATCACTCGCCCAAAAAGGACCGCGGTTGCATAGGAATTAACCCCGCAATCAGACTCTTTTCCAGTGTAATTCGCTGCCGCCTGTCAGCGCCGGAGTTGAGACCAGAAGAAAAGGAGAAGAGAAACGATGCCGTGAAAATGAAGAAGAAAGTAGAGGAGGAGGAGCAAATCGGAGTCCAAAGGTTGACGGGGTCCTTCACTCTCTCGATCTCCCTCCTCTTTGAATCTGAATTTTTTGGAGGTTGAAGAATCTTGGAATTGTTGGATTTGTTTGTGGGCTTCTTTAAATCATTTTTTAATTTTCATATATGAATTTTTGGATTTTTGAATCTCAGATTCAATTTGTCGTACTTTCTTGTTGAATCGACATGGATGTTTGTGTGAATCTGGGAGGGATGAATGTTGAATGTGGTGGATTTTGACTCCTTATGGATTCAAAAATGAAAAGGTGCAGGTGTGTGGTTAAATTCGGTAATCCGACAAACCGATTAACCTGAACTCTTAATCGGGCGGTGCGGTTCGGTGGAGTATATTTTGCGGTTCAGTTTCGGGCGGGTGTTGTGAGAGAAAAAAACCGATGAATCCAAACCAAAGTCACTCGAACCGCCTGAACTGACAGTCCTAAACAATTCTGTTGATTTCATTTTATGTTACCGGTGATGCTCTTAGTTAGTATAAGTGGATGAACTCCAATAAACAATTCACTACTTGGGATGCATTCACCAAGGATGTGCAACTAAGGTTTGGTCCTTCTACATACGAGAATCATCTAGTGGCTTTGTTTAAGCAACACCAAACTGGATCAGTCACTGAATATCAAGCATGTTTTGAGAAGGTAAGCAATTGTGTTACTGGTTTACTACATATTACTCTCCTTAATTGCTTCATCTCCTTAATTGTGTTAATGGTTCACTGAATATTAAGCCTCTTACCCGGGTCATTTGGGTTGAGGTGGTATATTTTTAAACTATAGGCAAAAAGGGGGTAGATTTTTAAAATGTAGGCATGATTTTCGCATTTCAGGAATCCGAAATTCTAACAGTCATTAATATTTCGGATTTACACTCTTCGAAATATGTTTGGAATAAATTTTAATTTCCGAAATTCAGGAAAATGTGAAAATTAATAGTGTTTTGGATATGCTAAATCCGAAACTATATTTCGGGTGAGAGATATCCGAAATAGCCCTATCCAATTTAATCCGCTGCGCTGTCGACACGTGGAATGTTATCTGCAGTGTTGAATTCGAAACATACTTCTCCAAAACAGAATATGATATCGTTCCTCCCATTCAGTTCCAAACCAAAACAAACGAAAAATTTGGCATCATCCTTATCCTTGTCGCAATCTCTGTCCCAAATGTGTTTTCAAGTGTTGCAACAGCATTCTTGTAAGTTAGTTTACCATTTTTAATGTGTTTTTTACTTATAATTGTTATATTTTATTATTTCTTAGTTAATTTGAAATTTTCAATATATGATTTTGTAGAAAATGGCTTTTTTATAACCATTTCTGTTGAATTTATTTTGGACATAGCAATTCGACAATGTTTCTGCTAGTAATATCCCATTCGGGACAATTTGGGTAGATAAAATATTGTCATTCTCAGATTTGGGTGGAGAAATATATGCAATTGCAAAGTTAGATAGAAATCGGGTGAATTTGAATATTTTAATGGTGTGCGAAGAGCAAAACATTAGAAGGGGGCCACTCGTTGTTCAGGATGACAACTCGAAACAAATGGTTTATCATTATTCAGTGTATTATCCAAAATTATTCGTCGAAGTGATAGATGTTCATGTATTACATCATGGTAGTACATCTGAGCACCATATGGAACCTGGACCAAGTGGTTGGGGACACAATGAAGATTTGGAAGCCGTGCTTATAATGTTGAGAGTGATAAAGAACCTGACCCTGCGAATGTAAGTGATTCAAATGCAAGTGACACAGATGCAAGTGACTCGGATGAAAGTGATTGGGGTGCAAGTGATACTCCAGTAACTGAGGAAACATGACAGTTTATTTTTAGTGATATTGGTGATCTTGATCCCCAAGTAGTGGGTCGTGATCCTATTGCTCCAGTTTTGTGGGATGGGAATTTGGATAAAATTGGCATTGGGACATGTTCCCGTAGCAAGGAAGAGGTGAAATCTGCCATTACCAAGTCGTCATTGAGAAAAGGGGTGAACTTTTGTGAAAAAGAGACAAGGGAACATGTATGGACTGTTAAGTGTGTAACCTTAGATCCCAAATATCTAGCTGAGCGGAGGCACGACACTACATGCCAATGGAGTATGCGAGAAGTGCAAAAAGTTGGTAAACCGTACTGGGAAATAACAAAATGGGTGGAAGATCACAATTGCGGCGGCACATCAATAGGCAGTAATAGACGAAATGTGAGTTCGACAATGATTGCAAAAATGATCCGGCCAAAGATTCAGACAAATCCTGCATACGGCGTGAAGAGTATCCAAGAGAATGTTTTAGCATACTTTAAATGTAAGGTCAATTACGATAAGGCATGGAATGCAAGAAGGAAAACAATTGACCTTGTGTATGGTAATTGGGAAAAAAATTTCAGCGAACTCCCTAAGTATTTGGAGGCACTACAGAGATCAAATCCAGACACTAGTGTTCAGTGGAAGTTCAAAAAGGTTAGGGCGGATGGGCGTAAGACTTTTAGATATGTGTTTTGGTCGTTTGGGAGTTGCAAGCAGAGTTTTCATAATTCATTTCCGATTGTATGTGTTGACGGAGCACATCTTCGTGGCTCATACAAAGGAAAGTTGCTTGTAGCGGTGGTGCAGACTGCAAATACTTCCATTGTTCCCGTTGTGTATGCAGTCATGGATGATGAGACCGAACATAGTTGGAAATGGTTCCTTAAATATCTAAAATTAAGAGTTCTTGGGGAGAGGAGTACATGTATTATTTTAGATCGACATGCTGGCATTATTTCGGCTGTAGAGCGCGTCATTGCAAAATATCCAGGGTCTATATGCCATAGATATTGTGTACTACATGTTCAAAGCAATCTGATGGAGAAGCATCGTTTTGAGGGAGTACAGTATTGGTGTTGGCAAATAGGCACTAAGCTGCAACCAAAGAAGTATAATAGAGCAAGGCGAGCTATCACAGAGGCCAAAGAAGGAGCGATTAAGTGGCTAGACAAGCTTGATGTATGTAAGTGGACACTTGCGCAAGACGAGGGAAAATCTCGTTGGGGCATGACTTCAACGAACATTTCAGAGAGCTGGAACAATATACTTAGAGGTCCTCGTTTTTTGCCAATCAGGGCAATGGTTGAAGCCACACTTGATAAAGCAGAATATATTTTCCGGATTGAGATCAATAAAATCAATGGTTGCCATACATTTCTTGCAATAGAAGCCATAAATTTGTACGAGAAGTATCGCGTACGCTCTATGTTACATACTGCATATCTTTATAATTATTTCGATCTTGTCTACAAAGTGACAACATATATGAGTCCGGAAGGAAAGGGTGGAAACAAGCACACAGTGCATTTAAATGAGATGTCTTGCACATGTGGCAAGTGGCAGACACACAGGTTTCCATGTTCCCACGTCATGACTGTTTTTGCACTAAACAAGGATGACCCCAAAACACTTGTAAGTCCATATTACACAGTTCCTGGGTGGAAGGCGCAATTCCATGGAGGGTTTAACCCCGTGCTTGATAGAGAAGATTGGCCTGAATTGAACTGGCGTCTGCGTCCAGATCGGAAGAGGCTTATCAAGTATGGAAAGGGCCGGAAACAAACAAAAAGGTTCCCTAACAACATGGATTATGCGCGAAGACAAGGTCGTCACAGGTGCAATAGATGTCACGGCAACCATGATACTTGATGTCCTTATTCCCATCTCCCATCAGACAGGACCCCGTAGACAATGCATATGCATATGATGCACATGGATTACATGGCAATGCAGCAGTGTAATTCTATTTCAGTTTCATTGTTTAGGTTTTAGAAAGTGTTGGACAAAAACTTGTGATATGATTGTCGTGTATTGTGTTTGATGTTTGTCTTTTGTGAGAAGAATGATCCAATATTGTTGGATTGAAAGTGTTGGATGAAATTTGTTGAATTGAAAGTGTTGGATGAAAATTGTTGGATTGGTCTGTTGTGTGAAAATTTGAAAGTTACAGGGACTGAATTAAGAAATGGCAGAGGTTCTGGGCAAATTGTAAAGCATATTTCAGATAACTAAAATCCGAAATAAACCCTAAGGGTACACTTCGGATTGATGAAATCCGAAATAAACCCTAAGGGTACGTTTCGGATCTTTTTATCCGAAATATCCAATTTGAATAATTTTTGATAACTTTAATAAATGGAAAAAATAATTTGAATACCAAAAAGTTAATGCAATACGATACTACACTAATAACTTGAATTTGAATACCTAAGGCGACATTTTTTAAACTTATTCAGATGATTTCAATCACAAGTTTTGTAACATTACAATTGAAATGTGCATTGTATAGTATATATGATAACTTAATTTGTGTAGTATAATACAGTACAACATACACTTAATACACGTAATTGATAACTACACCATATAATAACACGGGTAACTTGATAGCTTGTATTATAACATACACTTAATACTAATAACTGTAATAATACACAGAAGTGAAATATCATTATAACACTATTTTTTATAATATCAATTGATAACTAGTAATATTAAACACTAATGGTATATTAATGTTCTCTTCCCAAATACAATTGCTCTCTTCCCAAATGTGGTAAATGCATGCAGCAACAACAGCATTCAACATTTAGTGCTTCAATCTTGAATTCTTCCAAATATATTTCATTTCTGTTGTCCGTAATAGCCAAATTTTATTAAAATAAAATAGTGATACAAAACATAAAATAAGAATATGTAAATGATCTATAGTGAAAACATGTGTTTATGGTATATCAATTAACATAAATTATATGATCTATAAAAAATAATCGGATTACACCAAACTCCAAACTCCCCAAACTCCCAAAAGGTAGGAGTTTGTAATTCGTTTCATACCTTAAGATAAACCTTCAATGGGGTATGCATCTTTAGATTCTCCGAAACCTTTTTTCAAATCTAAACTCAATTCTTGCTTTTGATTTCTAGTATAGCATATCTACATATGTCTACTTACAAATCCCGGGTGGATGAATCAGCAGAAAAGAATCAACAATGGGAAAAACTCAAGTGCTAAAATCATCTGATCATTAATTTGGAGTATGCATTTCTCTGCCACATTTGTCATTTCCTCTCCACCAAATATGCAATGGACATTTCAATATTCTCAACCATTTGGAAAAGGGTATTGCTAAACGTAGATTGATTTTACTTCGCACAATTTATTAAAAAAACTTAAATACCCTTAAATCTTTTTCTTTCCCTCCATTTTTATTTCTCTTTTTCTTTGTTAAACACTGCTTGATTTTTTTTTTCCGCGGAACTTATAAAAAAATTTAAAATAAACCACAAATCCTAAGCACTTTGCAAAATAATCCATAAATAAATTTTCAAGCATACATGAATTTAAACTCTTGTTTCAAGCTATTACGAGGCTACAACACTGAAAATCGATGGGTTAATGATGTTGATTACATCATCAAGTTTTGCCATGCCGGTAGTTTTTCCTTTTAGCATAACATGTCCTGTCGGGAGTTTTTCCTCTTTTTTTTTTTATAAAAAAAATTGCCTGCAAAATTACTTATTTTGACATTCATTCCTTTTTTTGCTTGTTTTTTATTTTTTCGATTTTCTCCTATTTCAAACTATTAAAAATCGGTGAATTTTTTTACATGTTGAAGAATTTAAGAGAATCGATTTAAAAAAAAAAAGAGAAAAAATGGTATAAAAGAGTGAAACAAGGCTTTCGAATTTTGGGATATTTAAGCCTTTTCTATTAATTGCGCGAAATTAAATTTATTTGCGTTTAGCAACTCACTTTGGAAAAAAAATCTTTTTTTACTTGAACCAAATCTGAAATTGAAGTTCGAGGATTCCTTTCTTATTTGTTGTCCCAATGATGGACCCAATCTTTTGAAAGAACAAGATCTAGTTTTTGAATCGAAGCAAAAAGGAAGAGATGGAATATAGTTTTACAGATTTTGTTGGCCGGATTCTGAATAATTGGTTTCTGCAAGTACCCCTTGGATTCAAGAATTCAAACTCAAATGTCGGAAAAGGTCCTATGATGATTTCCTGGCTCCGCGCTGCTGTGTCGGAGGTGTTTGTGTTAATGTTTCACTCAGATTTTCTAATAAGTTAATTTGTAGGAGTCTTAATACCTTTTATCATTTGGGTAAAGGTTCTTCTTATCTATCTATATTACGGCCCTTCATGTTATTAACTTTCCAAATTTGATACTTGATCATGCTCTGTTATGTGATCATCATATTCATTTGCCTTTGATGGGTGCCCTGTTCTTGAAAGCTTGGTGATAAGTCCGTTAAAAGATAAGGTACAGAAGAGATAGAAGTCTTAGATTAGTTTCAATCTAGTTGGTTACTTCTAGTGATCAACTATTTATATTTATCACTTAAATTAAAATTAATTAGTTTGCATGATTATCATATTTGTAAACTAAACCTATAAAAAAGTATCTGATGTATTTTATGAAACACATAAATAGAAATGTAGTCATTCACTCCATTAGTTCATTTTCTGCTTTTATTTTTTTCTAAATAAATACCAATTTTCTTCTAAGTCGTCGTGATTTTAAATTGGTACACGATTTTTCTCTGTCTGAAAACCTTCCTTGATGAGAATGTGCTTCTGGAATGGTGTTTCAGTAACACTGATTCCACTGTGTTCAAGTATAGTGATATGCCAAAGCTTGAATTTTTGTACTAAGTTGGTGTACCTGTTGGAAGCTTCTCATTCAGCACATTTGATCAGATGATTTGGTTATGTTAACATGTTTATAGAAAGTTGTCAATGGAGCACCTGAAGATCCATCCTAAGATGAGTGCAAGATAGCTGAGTTCATTTACGCATGCTCTATGATAGAGCTTTTACATTTTGGAAATTTAACTATGGAGGTGAGCGTCCTTAGTCGTTTGACCTTTTTAGTTATAGTGTTATCGTGCTCTTTTTAATTTAATTTAATTTTATTTTGGTTAATTCTACTTTTCAATGGCTTTTCCTTGTTATTCACTTATTTGAATTGGAATTTGTACTTTTCCCTCTTGTTGCCTGGCTTCTGTTTGTTTGTCCTTCCCACGCGGATTTCTTCCACTTCGCTTATATCCTCGTGACTTTATGTCACTTCCCATGTCTAAATTTTGTATCTGGAAGAATTTTCGGCTGGAAGTTGGGAATTTGTGTGCACAACTCATTTGAGTATCAAGACTTGAAATACTGATTATTCAGCTCAGTTCAGTGTAACAGACATCTATCCTCTGACACTCCAATGTGATTTCGCTTGAGTTCTATTTTGTTTTCATGAAAGATACACCATTCGTTTCGGCAACATCTTACGCTTTTCTTTCTCAATTAGGGATCCAACATTTTCTTATGCTGGGTATGCATAATTCATTTCAAGTATGAAGAAGATAGAGATTACATAATTTAAGGGTGAATGAGTGAATACATCCCAACGTTTACACCAGTGTGCTAATTGATCCCAACATTTTAAAATTGATCAATTACGTCTCAAGGTTATCAAAATTGAACATATCCATCCCATGACCCGCAAAACAACAAAAATGACCTGATATAACAGTTAAAAATTTATTGGATTTAATATTTATTCTCTCTCTCTCTCTCTCTCTCTCTCTCTCTCTTTTTATTTTTTTTGTCATGTTTTAGTTCATTAAAAAAACAAAATTTCTAAATTTAAAAAATAAACTCGAAAAAACTTAATTAATCAAAATAATTTATGCATCACAAATGACATAATTTATAATTTTAGATAAACTCAATATTAATTAATTTTTGAATACTATATATATATATGTATGTGTGTGTGTGTGTGTGTGTAAGCATAATCATTCTATTTTTCACTCAAAATAAAGTAATTTTTTTGGAAAGTTTCTTTAAGTTTTATTGAAAAATTAAGATGAATCTGATTATAAAATAAATTAGATTCATTACAAATAAATTAAAGTTTTTAGTTTCTCTATTTATAAATATTGTTTTTGTTTCAATAAACTAAAAAAATTAAAAAATTCAAATAAACAGAAGTAAAAAATGTAAATATGGGATCCAAATGATTTTAACTGTTATACCAGGTCACTTTTGTTGGTTTGCAGGTCATGAGATGGATCTGCTCAATTTTGATAACCTTTGGACGTAATTAACCAATTCTAAAACTTTGGGATGAATTCGCTAGCAGGGTATAAACATTGGGATGTATACACTAATATTCCTCATAATTTAATGTCCGGGAAGGTGAAATTAGATTCATAGAATACTTTCTTAGTGAATGGAAAAGTTCTGCCAGAAGTGTTTTCAATTGTTCCTGCAAGATTAATAGATTCACACTGTCATCGACGACCTGCAAGATTTTCTGGCCTAAAATTTACTCGGTATGATGGACAATTGGCACTGTTAAGTAGCAAGTCGTGCATGGAATAAAGTTGGTATTTTACCTTGAAGCAATATGCCAATTTCTGCCCCCTCTTTTTGAATATGAGTGTGTGTGTGTGTGTGTGTGAATGAAAGATTCTGGTGGTGTCTCTTCAGGTTGATATTCTTGAAATGTTTTACCATTTACACGCAGTACTTACGGTATCTGGTGAGTGTTGTTCATTGGTAGAGGATCTATCTAATAATGGCAGAGTTGTGATTTGAGTTGTAGATGCTAATCTAAATAAACTAATACATACTAGGTAATGATTTCAGTTAAATTACTGAGTGTTGCAGCTTTGATACTGTTTTACTTAAAAAAAAAAAAAAACCGAAATACATATACTCCTTGATAAGTTACAAACATTCACATCTCACATATAAGGTTGATGTTCATATTGCATTGTTTGAAGTAATGATTGCACACTTAGAGATAATATTTTAGTTCTCGGACCAAGTGATGTCGAGCGAGCCAACATCATCAGGATCAGAGATGCCCAAGGCTTCCCAGACAGCTTTGGATCCATCCACAATGTTGTTTGGACATGGAGGCTGGTAGTCATGGTCCTCATCGCATCCCATAGTGGAGTCGCATTCGTCCACAACCATGGCGCTCACACTTCTACCATTGTAACGGATGGTAATGTTGTTGAAACACCTACTCCCACCCTTGTACCATCCTGTCGAAAGGGCTACGATTGGTATGCTATCGGAGTGATAGTGACCGTCGCATTCAGAAGGGCCACCGCCATCTCCATTCTTCTCAAAGCTGTTTATGGTAAGTGTGGCTCTAGTTTCTGAAGTTATGTCTGGAGAACATGTATAAGTTTTGTACTTCTCTCCTGTCTTGCAACAATCCGAGTCGTTTTCTTGATTGCATTGCCCCGGAGGGGGAGTTTTGCCAGTTATTGTCCCGCTTGGTCTGCAAGCTTGAAGTTGAAATCTTCCTGCAGCCTCAGGAAAATTGAAACTTGACAGAAGAATGAACCCAAAGAAAAAACAAACAATCAAGCTAAATGTCTTCATCTTTTTGTAGTTTCTTGGATGTGCAAATGCAGAATCAGGTGGGTTGCTTTTTATATTATTCAGGGCTTTACCAAAATGCCAAAATTGGGTTCAAGCAGCGTGCCATTTAATCCAATTCATCTCTATTGTTTTCTGTATATCCAAAACAAAGAGTACTAATGCGTCCTTATTGTGAAAAACCGAAGAGCAATTAGTTATGCAGATTGTCTAGAAGTCAAAAATGGCATATGTTGGCTTGAAACGGCATCTCATCCCGGTAAAATGTTGTATTCACCTCTATAGGGAATATTTGGTACTAGCTAGGAAATTAAATTTGTCGTTTAATTGCAAAAATTGCCTTGTCTCTTAGTAAAAGTTATTAGTTTGAAACGAATGACGATACATCCATTGAAAATTCATGGGTAACATATATGAATGAAAATCAAGTTTATTTGATTTTTGGGATTAACTCCTGAAACAACAATGGACTAATTAGCGGCAACAATATGTAGAATTTATTTACACTGACTTGCATTAACTGTTACTCCCAGAGATTAATTCACTTAACCGTACATGCATGGAATAATGTATCCTCCATTGTCACATATGATTTAGAAGAGCTCTTTGCTGTATCTCTCATGACATGGTTGATCAAACAAATCTCCGTCGATAGATAGATTAATCAACAAGGCTCCATGATGCATCGCCTTCTTCGTTTGACATTTTAATCCTTTTCGCTACTCCATGATGCTTTCAGCTGATGCTGTTAATTTAACCTCAAATTTGATTTTTCCTGCTTGCTTGATATACATTTGATCCCTTTTTAGTTACCTTTTTGTCTTTTGGGTATTCGTAATTAGTTAGGATCTCTGAAGGACGGAAGTTTGTGTTAGTCTAAAGATATGGTCAAGATTACATGTGGATAAGGAATTTAAAACACTTGCCATTTCATTTTATAGTTGTGAAGTGGGGTTATTATTAAACAGTAAGGTGACTCTTGAGGTGAAATTTCCAAGTTCGCAGCCTTTCAGGATGCATTGGGACCAAATAACCAACAAATCAAAGAAAATTTAAGGGACAAAATCTTGACATGTTTCATGTCTTAATTCTCTATCTTATCCACTTCAAATAAATTAAATTTCCAGCTTTTAGCTATAGCAAAGGCTAAAACATTGAGAGCATGATGCGTTGAGCTATACGTAGTCGATATCGCCATCAGAATTACTATGAATATATTCCATAAAAGAAGTAAAGCATCTTTGTGATTCGATAACAATATTTGATTGACCCATCTACCATTTCAACCCATTAGCAATAATAATAATAATAGTATAAGCTACAATATCAGAACAATACAAATCCTATTCAAGAACATTCTCCCACAATGATGAATTTGAGGGTATGTTTGTTTCGTTTTTTTAGTGTGTGTTTTTAGGTGTTTTTTGTACTGGAAAAGTAAAAAGGTGTATTAAAAATATAAAAAAGTATGATGGAATGAGACAGATATTAATGTATTATTCTGAAAAAATTATGAGAAAAAGGAAACAAACGGAGCCTGAAGCACCGAGAAAAGAAAGTGGGGAAGACTATAAATCAATGGAGAAAAGGAAAAGGGAAGGAAAGACAAAGATTGTAGTATTACGTACTTGTGATGATTGTTTTAATGGTTATATAGTGCAAAGTTTTGGAAAAGGAAGAGACATTTTCTCCAAGGGTTAAAGTTCATTTGCGACACTTCTTATGTTACACATATGTAAGTCAACGATGTGTTTCTTGATACCGAAAATAAACCAAAATGAACATTTTCAGCAGCCAGATTAATATATATACATATATATATATATATATATATATATTGTAATTACCACTAAGTTTAGTCGGGGTAAGTCGGGTTAAAATTCCTACGAGCTAAAGTGCTGGGTATGATATCCTCTGAAAATCAATTTCTTTAATCCAATTAACGGAAGTCTGGTGATGATAATATTTTCCGATGTTGTTTTCCGAGGGATATGCTCACTTTTTTTGCTATGTGATTAAATTTGATATTGCAATTACATGAAAACAATTCAAAACTACAATGTCTGAATTAATTCATTAGTTTAATTAAAAATGGCGGGGGTTCTTCACTTTTTTAGATACACTATTATTATTATTATTATTATTATTATTATTATTTTGTTGCTCGAAATTAGCCACTATTCAAAATTTCTAATAATGAAACTAAATTTTTCCTCTCTCCATGATGTCTTCTAGTGCTTGCCACAATATTTTCACAGCCAAAAATCACTTTATATAAGTTTATTAACTGGAGATATATATAAATTACACGAAGATATTTCTAGACAAGACTTTATAGGCCAGACAATTTACAACATTTTAATATCCAAATTTTCATGATCTTATATCCTCCTCCGGTCCCGAAATAATTGTCCAGGTTGATATTTCTGTTTTTAGTATAAAATTATATTGAAAGTAAAAATTCAAATAAGATTATTATTTTAGGTAAGAGAAATTAATATTGTCATTGACAGGACGTTTCTTAATTCGTTCTGATCCTAGAAAACAAGAAGTCGCTGGTGACATATTTTTAAGTGAATTTCATTTTCGCTTTTCTCATTTGTTGATTTTAGATCAACTATGTTTGGTCGAATATATATAAGTTATTTTCTCTGTGGTCCGTTAAATGTACATATGATCGATGGCAAAAGAAAGCGATTCAGCTAAGAAACTGAACAATCTTCTCTATTCCATCGTTTTTGCCAATTTTGGACATAAATGCAATCGGATTAATTACAAGAAAACTACTGTATCATTTATTTCTTTTACTGCCACCCTATTTTATTTACAAAACTATTAAAATAAGACGGATCAAGAATAATTCCTGTGACTAGCTTTACTTCCTAGCTTTGAGATTCCTTTTTAATATCACTGTCAAAACCAATTGGAGGGCATGGATTCCTAGTTTGATTGTAACATTAAAGATTCCTTGTTCGAGCTTAACATTTACATGTAAAAACCAATTGGCTGTTTTGGAAATTTCCTCATCGCACATTAATTATTAGTACTTTCTTTGTCCACACATGTCTGATCAAAATGAAGCACGGTTCCAACTCCAATTTAAATCGGACATATTAGAAAGTAATGGAAATATATTGATGTTAAAGGTATTGAATTTCACATAATTACAACAGTGCAGATTAAGTATTAAATAAATAATACGGACTCAAAAAAAATTTTTGTTTAATTTTTTAAGTTGAAGTTGAGCTTCTACTTATTGTGTTTTATTTATATTGGGGATTTTTAAATCATTCTTATTATTGTAAAACTTTTTTATCTTTCTTTGGCTTTAGTTAAATCTCCAGTGGAATGATCGTATATATTTACTATGAACTTAAACTTAAAGCAAAACAAAGGTAAGAACTCGACAAGAAATTTCATTTTACTGCCGTCGCAATGTTCTAATGCTTAATTTACAGTAAAACTCTCTAGATCAATATTGTTAAGCCCACAAAATATGTATTCATTTATCGAGATTATTATTTATCGACAAATTAATAACTATTTTTTATTGATAAATTAATAATTTACTGATTTAAAGGATTATTTTTCATTTCCATTAAGAAATAATTACCCAATTTTCTCATATTTTGAGACAACTACAGAGATTTTGAATGCAACGAAAAAAAAAAGAAAGAAATCTTCTCAAATATAAATTCAGGAAAACAACAAACTCAACAGTTTCTTACTTTTCTAAATCTTCTTTGTTTTTTTTCTTGTCATTTTAGATACTTTTCAATTTATGACTTTTAAGGGACCTATATTAATGTAGAAAATTTTACAAAATTTATCAATTTTATTTATTTATCAATTTTATTTGATTTTTGCATTGGTTCTGAGTTAGGAAAAAGTATATTATTATTTAATATAGTTTATTATTTCCTAGAATATTAATTTAGAGAGTTTTTACTGTATTTCTTTTTTTTTTTAAAAAAAAACTAAACGTAAAGCAAACAAATGCAGGAACTCAACAAGACATTTCATATAATTTCCGTCTTAATTTTATAATTTGCATGATTCTACTAAGGTGGTATACAACTAACTTGACCATTTATTTGGAAGGAATAAATTTAACATGTAATTCTGATATAATGAAAATTTTTTATTAAGGACGCTTCAAGTTTTAAATGATACTTCAACTTATCTTGTCACCCGAACAAAATAATGGATATAGTCACATTTTCTTTCATTTTAATTTTCTTGCCTTTCCAATTTTCTCATTTTTTTCGTCATTATTTTGTTATTTGCTCGGTTTTGTATTATAAAAAATTTTGATTCCTCGTAAAATTTTTTTATCATAGTTTTTTGATTGAAAATGAAATATTAAAAATACTTTATAATAATTGAAAAATACAATAAACGTGAAAATAATTTTTTAAGATTTTATTTCCAATTGGAAGAACATAATAAATAAAAATTAAGAAAAATCAAAATACGTTATAATAACAACCGGAGGAAGTAGTATTGTTCTGGTGCATTGCGGGGATTGTAAGGTTCCTAGGTATAAAATTTTAAAATTCCCCTCAAGGCGTATTAATATGTTTACTCATTAAATATGTTTTTTTTCTAACAAGTGTACCCTTTATTTAATGAGCAATAAAATCTATATTTTCAAAAAATAATAACGAAGACCTTAGAGGTGTTTCTTCTTAAAAACCCAAATCAAGAAAAAAAAAAAAAAACCTTCTTGGGGCCAGGAAAGGTTCAAATTTGATAATTAATACAAATCCCTCATAATCCCCAGAAAAAACATTTGAAAAATCTGAAACTCTAAATTATACTGCATATTATTGACCTTCAATCTACAAAAAAAGAATAAAAACAAAACTGATTTAACCCAAATCTTATTTCGGAGAAAAATAAAAACTCGCTTACGGCAATAATAATAGTCTAGGCAATTGAGCATTGGGGAAAGGAAAGGGGGAAATTGAAGCTAAAATTATCAAAATGATGAAATAATGAGCTAA